TCAGCAGAATAGTTTACTTTCAGCTGACCTATTTAGCAGCTCAGCTGTGTACTCTATTCATGAATTAATGAGGAGTGCTCTTGTAATACCTTTTGAAAATCTTGCTTATTAAGGCCCGATTCTTTTCCTAAATTGGTTGTCCTGTTTTTTTGTTGTTTTTTTTTTTTCTTCTAGGTGCTTTTAAGCCTTGTGAATATTTATTGGGAAGCTGGATGATTCGACTTACTGTCTGGTTTATTTTTTTGGTTGCTTTGTTCTTCAACCTGCTTGTCATGTTAACAATATTTGCATCCTGTACTCCATTGCCATCTTCCAAACTGTTTATAGGCCTCATTTCTGTCTCTAACTTATTTATGGGAGTCTATACTGGTATTTTAACTTTCTTGGATGCTGTCTCTTGGGGAAGATTTGCTGAATTTGGCATATGGTGGGAGACTGGCAGTGGTTGCAGAGTTGCTGGGTTTCTCGCAGTCTTTTCGTCAGAAAGTGCCATTTTTTTCCTGATGTTGGCAGCTGTTGAACGGAGCTTGTCTGCGAAGGAGATCATTAAAAAGGGGAAAAGCAATCGCCAGAAACAGTTTCAGATTGCGGCATTTATTGCTTTCCTGTGTGCTGTGGTAGCAGGATGCTTACCACTTTTTTATAAAGCGGAGTACTCGGCATCGCCCCTTTGCTTGCCGTTCCCCACTGGAGAGACACCTTCGTTAGGCTTCACAGTAACTTTAGTGCTCCTGAATTCATTAGCATTTTTGCTAATGGCCATTATCTACACTAAACTGTATTGCAACTTGGAAAAAGAGGACCTCTCCGAGAACTCGCAGTCCAGCATGATTAAGCATGTCGCTTGGCTAATCTTCACGAACTGCATCTTCTTCTGCCCTGTTGCATTTTTCTCATTTGCACCGTTGATCACGGCGATTTCTATCAGCCCTGAAATCATGAAGTCTGTTACTTTGATATTTTTCCCGTTACCTGCTTGCCTGAATCCAGTTCTGTACGTATTCTTCAACCCAAAGTTCAAGGAAGACTGGAAGTTGCTCAGGCGCCATATGACCAGGAAGAACGGAGCGGTAGCGATTGCCGTCAACGCTCAAGGGGGCTGCGTGACGCAGGATTTTTACTACGACTGTGGCGTGTACACCCATTTGCAGGGTAACATCGCCGTGTGCGAATGTTGCGAATCGCTCCTTTTATCCAAGCCCGTGCCCTGTAAACACTTAATGAAATCACACAGCTGCCCCGCGCTGGCTGTGGTGCCTTGCCAACGGCCGGATGGCTACTGGTCGGACTGCGGCACCCAGTCAGCACACTCCGACTACGCGGACGAGGACGACTCCTTCGTGTCGGACAGCTCAGACCAAGTGCAGGCCTGCGGCCGTGCGTGTTTCTACCAAAGCCGAGGGTTCCCTTTGGTTCGTTACGCCTACAACATACCGAGAATTAAAGACTGAAAAGGCTCTTTGCCATCAGCTGCTCTAATAAAGAGGTATAATGCTTCACAGACCGTTGCCTGTTTTGACCTTTCGAGCAGGAAGCACTTTTGTAATTGTCGTTCAGTGTCGTTTGTAAAGAAGGGAAGCGGGCAGTAGCTTCTTGAGCCATACATTTAAAAATAATTAAATAAATCAATTGCCCCGACTGTAAATAATTGGTAAACCAAATTTGTTACCCAATATTTTTACTCTTTCCACGCAATAGTGGTTTCTTTTATACAGTTTTTTACATGCTAATGGTGTGTTTCCACGTTGTACTCCAGTTGTATTTTGCTTCTGCTGTTGGCGAGGTAAGTTCAGTTGATTTTATTTTTGTCCTGCCAAAGCACAATATAAAGGACAGCTCTTTAATATTAAAGAAATTATTTTTAAATGTGACTTTTCTATAACTAAGCAAAAAAAAAAAAAACCCTCTCCTTGCTAGCTTTGTGTAGTGTATTCAGCATTGAATCTCAGGATGAATTTTACTGCAGGGCCAAAAAAGGGATTAATTCTCCCATACGTAACTGTGACAGCAATACAGGAATACCATGTTTGTTTTGTATTTCAAGCCAACATTCAATTTTCAAGAAGGGGTTTGTTACAATAAAGCACTTGTAATCCACAGTATCTCTAGACTATGAAATCGGAATATTAACAGCTGTCAGGAATAGCAAGTTGAACACATTTTTCCAGTGATGATGCATTACTTCAGGTGAACCACAGCAACGTTCTTCAGTATTACGCAGTCGGGTCACACTGTTGGAAGGAATATCGATGCGTCGGGGGGGGGGGGAGGGGGGTGGATTAGCAGCGCTGTTAATGTCTTTGCAGAAAGACTGGCTAATACCCTGCAGCCTGTTGAATATTACAGCACCCCAGTAATATCTACGAATAGACTGAGATTGGAGGGAAAACAGAAAGCAATTTTGCAATAAAGAAAAGCATTTTTCTGATTATTTTACTGAGAGTGAAGTACACTGTGCAAGGTCACTGATTTTCATGTAAATCAGTGCAATATTTTTAAATTATTCAAGTCCTGAGACCCAAACGATTTAAGTACAATTGGTGATCCATTTATCTGTATTTAGTTTGAAATCTGATTGATATAAAGTTATAAATGCATGATTAAGTAAATATGTACGTTTTTTGAACAATATGCTAAATCAAGAGCAAATCCACTGCCATCCCAGTCACTCTGGAGACATTCTCTTTAAGATTTAAAGCTAGATTGCTGTTTTGAGAATTAAACTGTATATACTGTTCATATAATGAATTTTTATCTTTGTATTGTAAATTATTTGATAGAACACATGATGGGAAATGTGGCTTCAGTTCATTTTGTTAATTAAAGCTACCTCCTAAACAATAGTGGCTGCCAGTAGCAGAATGTTTAAAATGTGGTTTATATACTTTTTGCATTGTAAATAGACATGGTTGTATATTGTCACTGTAATAAAAACAGAATCCTTGTATATCAAAATCATGTAGTTTGTACAAAGTATGGGAGGATTATTTACTGTATGCTGTTAATTTTGTAAGCCGAAATATTCACATGTAAAAACAAGAGAAGAAAATCAACCCAGAGTTGTTAATTCCTATATACACTCATGAATATTACATCTGCAATTAGCATGGAATGTTACACTGAGAGCAAATAAAGGGTACATGAATATTGCTTGTTATTTATCTCCGTTTTTCAAAAGTTAAGGCTGAAAATGGTGCACATGTAAAATTATTGAGCATAACTAATGTCATATGCTTTCTGCTACATGTGGTGAGAGTTTCGGGAAACAATTGCCAGAAAAATAAGTTGCCAGTTTACCGGTGGATATATGATCTCAGACTAATGCTGACTCTTGGCATGCAAAAGGTTAAAACCTTCAGAGAAGTGTTTGCCCTCTTACAAAGCAGTCTCTTTAATAAAGACATTATTATGTATTGTGTTTGAGTTGAAATGTTTTTAGTACGGCTTGGAAAATCGTACAGATGGTGATTTTGGTTTTGATACTATTTCTATGCTCAGAGTTGTGGGGGTTTTTTTAAAGCCATAGTTTTGTAAAAGTCCCAGTCTGTTCCACACTCCCTCTGTTGGCCAACCAGTCACAGGTAATGAGAATTCTTCTAACGAGCACCTCTCAAAAAGGACAGTAAAGGTCAGCTACCATTTCATAATCGGTAGGGAAGGAAATCCAACCATCAGTCTTCCAGAAAGCCCGTTGTATTTTCAAGCAATGTTCTTGAGTATGGATTTATTTCTTCTTTTGTTTTACAAAATAAGTCTTCACTGAAACGCTATTAAAATGGTCAGATATTATCCATTTGGAGTTCTAGTATTTCATTGTACATCAATATGTTTTTGGAGTTACAGTTATGCTAATAGTTAACTTTGAAAGCAGTCAGCCCGGTGTCTTCCAACACACACAGGTCTTACCCGCTGGTAGAGGCGAAAGAGCACAGGCAGTAAGTAGCTACTAAAATCAACCCGTCAAGAAGCAGTGCTGCGAAACTGCCTGTCTCACCATCACCACGTGCCCAACGCCGGTGGATGATCACGTAAGGAGGACCCAGAAAAATCCACCCACCAGGTACTTAATGCCTCCTTTGTTGGGTCTTTGCTGGACAAGCTCATCTCGGTAGCAGGGTGCAAAGTAACGTTCAGATGTTCACAGCCGCAACAGGAAAGCCGTCCTCTCGCTCCCCCTTCTCCCCGCTCCAAAAGCGGTGTCAAATACATGGGGACAACTTGCCTTAAAGCTGTGCTGTGTTGGGAACGTGTGAGGTTTTTCAGTTACCTCCATACAAGTGTCGCCCGGGCAGCCGCCGCCTCAGCTAGGCAAAGGTTCCCGGTTCCAGTTTTGAGACTCAAAACAACTGAAACCTCACGGTTTACACCCTTCTGGCGTGTCTCAGGAAATAAATGCTCTGATTTTCTAGAGGCTGAAGCTAGGCTGAACTGTTCTTACCGTGACAGTGTTGCATACCTTGCTTCTACACCGCTCTCCACACCTGTTGTACTGAGCTCCAACACTGGATTTAGCAGACAAAAAGAATTTGCTGTTGACTTTAAATAAAGGAAGACTTCAGCAAGGAGAGCATTTTTTGCTGCTGTTTTTCTTCCTGATCTTGTGCTGTTTTCTGCAGGGGGACAGAGTCACAAATAAAATGACCAAGGTTGTTGCTAAGGCATTCCCTACCTTTCCCCCCATGAAGAGTAATTTCCTGTGGACAGCTGTCAGCTGCTCTGTGGCAGTATGCTGGGAGATCTCTTCATTTCAAATGGAGACTTTTTATTCTCTTATAAAAATAATGCATCTACTTAGCAACTTTTTGGTCTACATCTCTTTTGCCCTTTTTCATTTCTTTTCCAGTAGAATTTCCTGTGTTTATGATTAAACTTACTCAGAAATTTCAAAGTTATACAAAGATACTTTTCTCTAATAATTCTTTTTACCTTGATTACTATTTTTAAGCCTCCACTTTTAATTTACAGGCTAATGTTTTTAATTAAAAGCACAATGCAGGGTTTGTTTCATATGTACTCTCAAATTAATAATTTTTAATTACGTAGGTGCTTTTGATCTTTGCTAGCATAAGAAGTTTATTTTTAGCAAGAGATTTTTTTTTTTAATATTTTCACATATTGTACAGTAGAATCTGGCCGATTTGGCACTAGAGTTCAGCAGAAGATTCAGTAAATGAGATGAAATCTGAAGTGGGATAATACATGACAAATTACTGTTTTCTTTACTGTTGTATACTGTGAGAACGTGGAGGGTGAATGGACACGTTTCATACGTTGCATTCATGGCTCTACACTACTATAAAAATACCATTTAGGTTTTACCTCAGAAATAGTAGTTAATGGTCACTATGGTATTTACATAGGGAAATTACTTAGATTTGAGGGTAACAAAATAGGAAGCGTCTCACTGGTTTCCGGTAACAACAGTATAACCTGTTAAGTGTCTTTTGAAAATTTCAGCCCAAAAATGAACAATTAAATCTGTTAATAACTGAAGTTTTAAAAGAGAGAAAGACGCTGCGCAGTGTAAAGTGGCTGAACACGTGCAGGCTGTTGAAAAGGAGGAGGGCTGTGATCTCCAACTAACGTAAAACAACTGAGCTGAGGAGATCCTGCTATTGATTGAAAAAGATGGGATTTCAATATAAACGTGTTTCATAGAGTCCTTGCACATTCCCCTAACCAAGAGAGAACTTCTCACCTTCTCAAGGCCGCAGTCCTTGAAAGCAGATGGCTCCACATCTGCGACCAGCAGCGCCTGGGCTGGCACTCGCAGTGGGTGCAGCGTATTGCAGAGACGAGGATACGCCGTACCGCGGAGGAAAACTGGAGCAATCCAAGACCTCTCGGATTTCACCGCCTCTAGTCAAGCAGAACTACAAATACAGGCACAAAAATAGCCACTCGACAAGTATAGGCAGTGCTCGTTCGGCTCTGACACCGAGTGCGGAGCCAAGTAACTTTCTTCCTCGCTCCCGTGCCTGCCCCACCGTTGTTCCCCACACTGGAAAATCTGAAGACTCGGCAAGGCTTCTTAAATTTGGCTATATTTGGTTCAAATGTTCTATTTATTTTTTTTTTTCCAGGTCACAAGTAAAGACAAGACATACATCCTTCACGTTTAAGGCACGTTGTCTAAGCCTTAGTTTGTGCCTAAATTTAGTATGTTGGGGGTTTTTTTTGGTAGGATTATGTTTATGCTTTTTCTGTGTTCCTGATTGCATCTGAAAGCAATCTTAACTGATTCTTTTCAGGAAATCTGGCTAATATTAATCAAGTAGAACTGAGAGGTTTCCTTCTGATGGCCCTTATGTTTTCAGAGACTGAGCTGATCAGATTACAGTTGAATTTTTAAAATTCAACTATTTCATAAAGAAGAGTTGGCAAATTCAAGTATTTCATAGCATTGTCAAATCAGGCTAGTTGATTTATGCCTGGAATTTAATTAATTTCTGTGTTTGTTACCTGTAAAATTGCTTTCTTGACATTTTCTCTGTAAAAA